GTCTTGGCCTTACACATATTCCTTTAGTACCTTATTTCTGCTAGCCTTACAATATTTAGGATGTGTCTCCTGAATCTGAACTCCCTTAAACAGTGTGACAAGAGTGTCTTTCTGACAAACAATCTGGTACCACTATGGACCAAATGCTGTTCTCGGTTACCTTTGTGTAAAGCCAGAATAAGTCATCAATGAGCAGAATGTGGTCCACAGTCAGCAAGTTTGGTTACAGCTCTCTGCTTAAAGGAAAGCCAGCCTTTTGTCACTGGCTGGCACTACTATAATGAATCTTGGTCCGCAGTAACCCTAACCAGGCTGAGGCCCCAATCCTGCAAACACTTACACACATGCTTAACTTTGCACGTGTAAGTAGTTCCACTGAAGTCAGTTCTTGTGTAATGTTAAATACATGCGAGATCAGGGACTAATATATCAGCACAGAAAAGAAAAGGCTTGTGCTTCTCTGAAGCATACACTCACAAACACATTTAAATGAGTGGAGCAGACTCTGAATACCAACTAGTTCAGTCCTCACTTCTGTAGTTGGTTATATGGCTGTGGATGAAAGCTTTGAACTCTGAGTGAGCATTTGGGGCCAAGTATACAATGTTAATTTACAAACAACATTGCCATCAAAAGACATGACATCCCTCATCCTGTTCTGCTGCTAGCAGAAATTATGCGATTAAAAACTGCCTTAGTACAGCTTCTTTTTCATGAGGTATCCTTTGCCTATAAATATTCAGCTCGCAGAATGAGGAATCAATTTTTGCAGTGATGACAAACAAAAGCACAAAATAGGGCATTTATGTGCAGTCTGCCTTTGGGTAGTTTGACAATGCACAAATTAGCTCTGACCCACTGGGCTCTAACTTTACACATCTCCCTTCAAATGTTTCCACTGTTTCAAGTATGCTGTGACGCACCTGGAGTTTGATCTCTCTATGGGTGGGTAATTATTTAACTTAGTCCGTTAGTATAGAAAAATGGACATTTTTAAAAGCAACGTGTCCTTTAGTTACAGTATGCCTGGGAGAAGGATTGGTTTCATTTTATTATGTGCTTTAGGGCCAGATTCCATCACCTTTATTCACTCTGAGAAACACCTTACTCTGCAGATAGCTCTGGAGAAATCAAATTAATGCACTTTGTCTTCTCTGTGGTTTAAGCACGTTGCTGAAGCTGGATTCTCTTTTGCGTCACATGGAGTTTTTCTTCAAATGGCCATGTTCTTCAGATTGTCTGAGCTCATTTTGCATAGACCAGTATAAGCTATAGCAGAGTTCAAGGCAAGAGATGTTCTCTTAACCATTGCTTTGTTTTGTTTTGTGGAGTTCAAATAAGACATATGCTCTTAGCAGTTACTAAGCTTTGCATGGATTTTCAGTGTGTGGAAAGAATCTCTGAAAATATATGCTGGCAGCATCATGACTGAGTTTCATTGTTTGGCTAGATATAGGGACATTTATAAAGGACTTATTCTTTATTTTATTGTGATTTGATTGTTGTTTCTCCTTCCTCAGCTACCAAATGGCACAGGTGTAAGACAATTGTTTTATGTAGTCTTGGGGGAAAAATAATGCTTTGTTTTCAAGCAACAATTCTGTACAGTGTGCCTCTAGGGTTCCTCCTGCTCAATCCTGTTAAGCATGATAAATTTTTAACCTATGGTACTTGGGTTCACTCTCCACTCAGAGCTGCAGCACATTTCAAGCTGTTCACTTTGAATGAAAAGCTTCTCAAAACAGAAAACTCAATTTAGTCCTACTTGTGACATTAAGATAAGGAATTCCTCAAGGGGCACCAGTTCTTATCAGATACATTATGTGCTTTGCAGGCTAAGTAGGAAATTAAGTAGAGTTCCATGTTACACGTTATAAACATGTGTTCCCTGCTGGATAGGACCTTCCATTGGCACATCAAATAAAGCTTTTATATGGTAGCTAAATTGAGTCCTGTTCACTTGCAGAATATCACATCTCTCACAAGAGTATATAATAATTAATGATATTCCCTTTTAATATTAATACAGAACATTACTACATTGTAGGAGGTAGCTATTAGTCCAGTACTTATCTTCTGGTATAATGAGTTCTCTATGATACAGGGATTATTTTTTTCATGTCAAATGACTACACTAGGAAAGTTTCACTGAATGTGCAGTAGAGTCTACCAACATGTTGTTGTTGTTATTATTTGTGTTGCATTAGTGCCCTAGGGATCCAAATCATGAATCAAAGCCCCATTGTGCAATGTGCTGTATAAACACATGGCATGTATTATATGCAGATATACTCCACAAATATTTAAGGAGAGAAGAGAAGGTCACCCAGTCCATTCCACTGCCTCTTGGCTGCTGACCCTTCTTTTTCACCCAAGCATAGCCCATAAAGTGAAAGTCTATACTTGCAATAAATTCTTCAGTACTGCTAGGTCCTTGCACTATGCATAGCTGTACTATGCTAAATTACTATAACCATCTGGCAGAAGAAACTTCTCCTGCTATATGATCTAAACCTGTCTTCCCCTTAATTTCAAGTTAGTACCACACTTTCTGCTCCTTTTCCTGAAGCCGGACTAAGTCTTTGCCTAGGTCCTTGTTTGAATCCTTCAGGCACTGCCATACTGTGGTTAGATTCCACTTTTATTCCAAATGAATTCTATTGAATAGAATAGATTTATATCCCCTCTGCAGAATTAAATAGGATGGTTCAAAACACCTACAGAAAGGATCACACTTTCTATTAAATTCTACAGATTTTAGAGCAGGGATCGGCAACCTTTGGCACACAACCCATCAGGGAGATCTGCTGGCAGATGGGACGGTTTGTTTATCTAGAGCGTCCATGGGAACGGAGCCCCACAGCTCCCACCAGTTGCGGTTCACCACTCCAGGCCAATGGGGGCTGTGGGAAGCGGCAGCCAGCACATCCCTAGGCCCACGCCACTTCCCACAGCCCCCATTGGCCGGAACGGCAAACTGCAGCCAGTGGGAGCCGCGATCGGCCGAATCTGCGGACGCTGCAGATAAACAAACCATCCTGTCCTGCCAGCAGATTTCCCTGATGGGCCGCATGTCAAAGGTTGACGATCCCTGTTTTAGAGTAATGTCTATAGAACCCTATTATATTGCTGTGGAATACTGTTCGGTTCATTCCTATGAAATTCTAGAAGACTTCCAGAAAGAGGCACAGGCAAATTCTGTGTGGAAGCCAGTTGAATTTTTTTTAACTGAATCCTGTCCTAAGCTTGTGTGGTGAGTGTTTAAGATGGTAGCAGAGGCCAAAGTTCTTGTTTGCTCTTGGACTATATAATTTGCATTTGCTTGGCTTTGTGATAGCTCAGGCTCAAATCGAAGGGGATTTGTCACATACAGACAGGGAAATGTCTGCAATGGATAAGAACAGCTCTCAACGGAAGGCATCTCATGGTAATGGGTTACACAGAACAGGTTCCATGGATAACCAAGGAGTGAGAGATGCCTATAAAAAGTAATGAAGTGCTGGACTGAATTAAAAGCAAAACATGGAAAATGAAACTACTAGTGATGGTCAAATGTGTCAATAGAGCTATGCCAGTTTACACCAGCTGAAGATTTGGCCCATACATTTTGTGCTGGGGGTAGGAGCCTGAAATGTTCTTGTCTCAGAACATTCCACAGAGTAAAGGTTTTGTTTCTTTTCCTTTTCCTCCCTATAGTTATCTGTTAGGATTTTATTCTCAAGATATTACTATGTAGCATTTCATTGTTAAATCCGATCTTAAGGCCAAAACATACGTCTCGCAATAGTATCCTGAAAGACTTCTCTTCTGAGAAAGTTAAACCACATGCACTCTTACTTCTACATGGGTGTGATGGGGTGTACAAACCCCACACTAGCGAACAAGGGGTTAAGGAGCAGCCCTGGATCCAGGCAGCCCTGTCCAGCCACACCTGCAAAGCCTGCACAAGCTGGAAGCCAGGCTGAAATTGGGAAACAGAGCAGCTCAGAAGGGGACAGGCAGTGGAAAGGAGCAGACCTCTGCTCTCTGGAAGCGCTGACGAGGACTCTTGTGGCCTGAGACTGGGAACAGACCTGACAGGACCGTCAAAGGAGAGAATGATGACTGATTGGGAAGGTCAGAAACTTTATTTGTGATTCTGTAATTTATTCCATGGGCAAAAGGGAAATTTGGGTGGGAAGTGGTCTGGGGGGGCAGCTGGGTAGCACCCCAAGGTGCAGAACAAAGTTGCCCAGAATTGAGCCCAGGATCAGAGCCTGGTGGGCCCAGGCTCCCTACCCACACACAGAAGATGGGACATGAACAGAAGCCTTCATCTCAGTAGAGTCTTGTGGAAGACCTGGACTGTTCAAGGGCCCAGACCCCAAAGTCGCCATACTAAGGTGAAAGCCCTGGGGGAGCTGAAGGACAGGACAATAGCTGAAAAGGAGCAACAACCTGCTGCCCTTCTGCCTGACCACTAGGTGGCACTGGTATTGAGTGTTCCCCTTTTAGATAGGTATCAGAGGGGTAGCCATGTTAGTCTGGATCTGTAAAAAGTGACAGAGTCCTGTGTCACCTTATAGACTAACAGAAGTATTGGACCATAAGCTTCTGTTAGTCTATAAGTCCACAGGACTCTTTGTCGCCTTTTAGATAGGGAATTTCCCAATAGGACGAGTATACAGCCTCTTTACATTACAATGGGAGGGGCCGGATGTTTCATGAAACAAGTCTGTTAAATAGCATTCTCAGAAAAATAAATTCTCAGACCTCTTGCTGGTGTGTAAGATGTTGTCTATAATGTGTTTCCACTGCAAAAAATATTGGCCTGCTAAACCCAGGGTTGTGAGTTCAATCCTTGAGGGGGCCCTTTGGGAATTTAGTTGGGGATTGGTCCTGCTTTGAGCAGGGGGTTGGACTAGATGACCTCCTGAGGTCCCTTCCAACCATGATATTCTATGATTCTAACTACAATAAATGTTAAACAAAAAGCAAATAAACCTTTTTTTAAAAACTTACTGTGACAGGGTAGTTGGCCCCTTAAGGGCAGTAGTGTCTACTGGTCAGTCCTCATCACCTGGCAAGGCTCCCCTCTGACCCAGCTGGCAAGGCATGAGCTGGGAGAAGGGGCCAGCATAAATGCTTCCTCCTCCTTAGTGGGGCAGATTCCTGCAGACATGAAAAGGAGTAAGGAGGCTCCTGCAAGGCCCTGAGTTAGCAGGGAGCAGAGATCAGCAGAAGTCTATAAAACCCTCTAAGCCCATGGACTAAGTGGGGCCAGCCCAGGGAGATAAAATGCCACCCAGCTCCAGCCATAAGGAGAGACTAAAAGACCCTGAGGGGACTAGGAACAGAGCTTAGAGGGCAGGTGTCAGAGAAACTCTGACAGCCAGAAATACCTTTTGTTTATTTGGGACTTCTTGTTATGGCCATTTTGTATGGGGTTTTCTAATAAACAAGCCCTAAGAAGGATATTATTGAAACAAATGTCAAGAGTGCCTGATATGGAATTATTGGCTTTGTGAGGAGGGTAACTGAGTCAGGGGGCACTTACAACTCTATACTTACTCAACAGAGGGTGCTACAGGGCAGGCATGCCCTACGACACCTACCATTCTGGCCTTCACAAGGATATTATTGATTAATTGTTTATATTAGAGCTGTGTCTATCCAAGATCAGTTCCCCATTGTGCTAGGCATTGTACAAACCTACAATGAAAATATGGTCCCTGCCCCAAAGACCTCACAAACTAAGTAAGGCCAGTGACTCATCATTGCTAACCACCTCCAACAGTAAAGAGTGTGGAGTTGGAGGGGTGTTTGAACAAGGAGTCACCAAATGAAATGAATAGGAAGCAGGTTTAAAACACACAAAAGGAAGTATTTCTTCACACAATGCACAGTCAACCTGTGGAACTCTTTGCCAGAGGATGTGAAGGCCAAGACTATAACAGGGTTCAAAAAAGAACTAGAAAAGCTCATGGAGGATAGATCCATCAATGGCTATTAGCCAGGATGGGCAGGGATGGTGTCCCTAGCCTCTGTTTGCCAGAAGCTGGGAATGGACAGCAGGGGATGGATCACTTGATGATTACCTGTTCTGTTCATTCACCCTGGGACACCTGGCATTGGCCACTGTTGGAAGACAGGATACTGGGCTAGATGGCCTAGGGAGGTTGTGGAATCTCCATCTCTGGAGATATTTAAGAGTAGGTTAGATAAATGTCTATCCGGGATAGTCTAGACAGTATTTGGTCCTGCCATGAGGGCAGGGGACTGGACGCGATGACCTCTCGAGATCCCTTCCAGTCCTAGAATCTATGAATCTATGGACCTTTGGTCTGACCCAGTATGGCCATTATTCCTAGGTTCTTATGTCTTCACTAAGCTTTTTAGGATCTCATCAGATGCCTTCATTATGTACCCAAAACTGCCATTTAATTCAGTGGGCATGTGCAAGGGATGCCATAATGCACCCTTAATAGTTAAAAGGGTTCATCTTTGGTGATGGAGATTAGCTGTTCTTCCTTCCATTAAAGAATAGTGGCAGCCAATGCTGACGCCACTATTGGCGAAAATTGCTTTTAATGGACATCCTGGATGCTCAAAACCTCAAAAGAGGCATTCAGCACTTCGCAGGAATATTTCATTTGCATTTTTAAAACACAGCCAGTTGAGGTATCTAAACATGGCAAAAAGGTTTTAAGAATAAAAATGATTCCTTGCAAAGCCCGGAGAAGAAAAGGCCAGTCCTTGGTTATTGATTTGCTTGACCACAGAACCATGGAAGCGTAGGGGACCAACTCTGACATCCAACCGAGAATGATACCATTGAAGTTTATACCCTAAGACAAAAACTGGGGAGATCACTCACACTGGCCTTGATTTGCCATTGCTTCACCCCTTGTGTAGTTGTTTGCATCTGTGCCAAGTGGGTGTACAGTGCTACCACTGGGATTCTCTATCCCACTTGCACCAGTATAAATGATGAAGCAAGGCAGTGGGGAATCAGGCTCATTTTCTCCCCAGCTCACATAGATCTGTGGAAGACATTGCGAAAAGTAAGATAGTTAAAAGTCTGATTAAATTTACCACCACTACAAAATTTTCTATTAAAAGGTTACCTTTAATTAAATGCTTCAGCCTGCAGACTTTTGCTTCCTCACCATTACATTCTTTTTGTAATAAACTTTTACAATATGCATCGTTATATGAAACTTGCAGACTCGGCTCCCGGAGATGGTGATGGAGGGGAGAGGGGGAACAATCAAGTTTTCTGCCTTCTTGCATATTGAAAAAAAGTTTTTTGGTTAAAAATATATGTCTGAATAGAAGTATTTGGAATGTCGAAGTTTCAAGGTCAGAACAGAGTGAGAGTGGGCCGGGAGCCATGAATTCCTGAATTCTGATCCTACTTCCATTACTGACTTTCTGTGTGGCCTTGTACAAATCACTGAGGGCCAAAGAACCACAGGTCCACTTGGCTTCAACGGGGGAGGTGCGTGCTCACCCTCACCTCTGAAAACTAGGCCCCGTTTCTCTAAAATGAAAACTAGGCCCTGAGTCTTCCAGAGGTGTACTGGTGATTATCTAATTAATGTTTAAGTGCTTGGAAAATGTAAACTGCTACATATTAGGGCAAAATGGCTGTGTGCAGCTTCAAGGTAGCACATGGGGGTTATAATTCTTCAGTAATGAGTATTACTATGCCAAATGGACAGAACACAGTCCAAGAGGGAATTAGTGAGATAAACAAATGAGAATCAGTATTCTGATTAGTTCTATGGGCTAATGAGCAATTTGGCCTCAATTCTATTCCCTTTCACATGTTTTTGGTAATCCATTTTCTTCGGGGTGCTTTAAAGAACATAGTATAGTTGCATGTCCAAGAAGATCAAATAAGGTTTTTTAAGACCTCTTAAGCGTTGTAGCCATTTAACATGCACTCTGTCAAAAGCGGGTGAAATGAGAATGCCGTTCTTATAGAAAAATCATGACACTTAGAGCATTTGTTTGCATAGAAGGAGGATTTATGTCCTGTTTGCTTCTTCCTGTACCCTTGGAACACCAACAATCAGCTTTAGTATGGCCAGGGAGTATATATCAGCCAATGCTGCATTTCACAGCCTGATATAAACACAGAGAATGATGGCCGCTACTTATTATGTATGTTTCTGAGCTACCCAGGAACTGAACTGTGTGTATACTCTTAAAGTTATAAATCCCTCGACCTGTACACATGAGGAAGTTGAGCAGAGCCACTGTATCTCCTGAAATATCTTGGGGAGAGGGAAAAGAAGAGCCAAGGTTTCATTAAAATGGAGAACAGGCTCATTGCTTTTTTGCTTATACTATCTCCATCCTTACCAAAGCCTGTTTGAAAAGCAAAGCCCTGCTCCCTCTGAAGTAGAGCCATTAGGATTCTCACTGCACTCTTCTCTCTGCTCACACAGCATTGTATTATCCCATTGCTCCACTGGAGACTTCCACACATCGGGTGAAATTATGGCTCCAATGAAGTCAATGGGAAAAAACCAGCTGACTTCAGTGGGGCCAGATTTCACCAAGAGTTCTTATGAGGGGAGTTGGGACTGTGTTGATTCTATTATGGGAATTATAGGTTAAAACTTCCAAACTTTGTTGTCTAAACTTAGACTCTGAATACAAGATAGCTGAAATTCAGCAATCCTGAGCATCCTCAACTACACAGGGCTTCGGGGGGGAAAAGTCAGGCCATTATTACTTAGGTATCTAAAGAAGAGCACTGATGGATGCTTCCTAGAGAATGAAGGCAGTAGGTGGCTGGCTGAGTTCCTGTGGAACTGATGATTATAATGCTGCTGAGATTTTATTCAATTGTACTGATTGTATAATTAATTTTGTCCCAGCACCTCCAGGCCTGGACAGATGTCTTTTATTATTTTAAATCTAAAGAAATACATATGGGTTTAGGCATCCAGGTTTGACTATTTTGGCCCCTGTGCATTAGGAGGGTTGATTATGATTATTTATTTTTATTGTGGGTGCGCCAAGGCCCCAGTAGTGATAATAGGCGAACAGATTCCTGTGACACAGCAGCTCATGATTTTTACTTTGGTATCATTTTCCATCAATGTGAGAATCCAGTGCCCTCTGTCTGAGAGGCTGGCTTTGTTCCAACTAGACTTGGTGATATAGTTAATTCCTCTAGTGTCCTGACACTTTATTTTATTTCTGGAAGTGTTTAGTCCAAAGGTCAAAAGGCCTCCTCAGCTTACTAAAGTGATGATACATTTTATTTAATTACTTTTAAATGGGTGAGGGACCCCTCTCATCAACCCTGAGGCACATATACAAACACAAACTGTAAAAAGAAAACACAATACATAGGCCAGCCCCTGAGAGTGAATGCAAACAAGGACTCCCCCCAACCAGCTCCCTCAGAAAAAGCCTTGGTAAACAGATAGGCATGCTTTGCAGGTCAACAAACTCAGCCTCTGACAGATCAAGTGTATAGGGGTGGCTACCAGAGGCAAGGGTGTTGTGTATTCCATATACAAGACACAAAACGTATACCAGAAAACAAACACGTCTCCCTGGATGAGAGCGCCCCGTGGGCCTGCCTCTGTAACAGCCACACTGAATTGCCAGCTCTGCCCCCCAGCTGTCAGGAGACTCTTGCATTGAAAGGTGCAGAACAACTGCCCCTGGACGTATGTGTGTAGAGGTTCCACTAAAGTCAATCCGAGGCCAGAATTTGGCCCTCTAAATGTTGCTATTGCAAATCAGAGCTCCTGGTGTGTTGCAGATGCTAAGCTGTCAGTGACTCTTTGTTCAATAGATGGAAAGAGGAAAACTGAGCTATTCCTTTAAAGCGGTAGAGGAATCCAGGTCCAAGGATGCTGCAGTATTCCATGGACCCTAGTTATAACATACAGATCCATGACAGCTTGTCCTGCACATTTCATCATCAATATTTAATCTGGGCATCGATTTTGTCTTGATATTTGTTGTTCTACGAAATGTCATAACTATTTATAATGTTCACATATTACAATAAAAGTTAATTTAATGCAAATTGTTACTCATATTGTCAAATAAAGGACACGTCACGTAGCTAAAATACACAATCTTTTGGAGCCTTCTCATTGTAACATTCATGAGAGCAAATCTCTCATGACCAAATGCTGGAGATCAAATGTTCCCATAATGAAATATACAATATAAAATGCTGTGCTTCCTGTAATGACAGTTTAATATCCTTCAGTCATTCTAATAGCAGTAACATAACACTATATTCTCACTGTTTGGCAAAATTTCCAAAGATTCTTCTGCTTCAAAGGGGAGTTACTATGAATTTGGAGCCAGTACTCTTAATGAAACTGAGCAAAAGAGAGAGTGAGAGATGGCTGCATCTGTTTTAAACCTGCACGGGGGTGGGGGGAGAGAAGGGGGCGCAAAGAGGGAGCAGTTTCTAGGCCCTCATCTACACTCGG